CAAAAAAGAGTTTATTCTCTTCACCTGGAAATCTGCATACTGCCAGGAGGTTACACTGGCTGTGGCTGATGTGGGAATTCTATTTTAGGTAGATGTGGAAGTAGAGCCACAAGAAATATGTTGAGTAGAATTTCCAGTTTCCCACTGGTGATAAGATTGTATCCATATCATATCTGCCTTCTCACCAGATAGGAACAGGACCTTTGTTTTGAGATCAGTAGACAAAGCCCAGGGCTTGTTTTTTAAAAGTAGATGTGCATTTCTGAAATCTGTGTATTACTCTATTACATCTTGTACTGCAGTCAAGTTACTATTATAGTCAAAATAATATACAACACTAGCATAGATAAAGTCTATGAACAGGAGCCAGTGTGTGTGTGTCCTGGTGGTGGCGGTAGTGGTGGTGGGGTGAACATACCATTTTACTGTGCTTTTCTTACTTTTCTACTTTACTGTAAAAGCAATGGTTGCTTATGACAAAAATTAAAGAGGAATGCATGACACATGAAATACTACTGTTAACTTCCCCCTTCCATCCACATACCCTGTTCAGAGGTAAACGCTATGCATCTAAAATTTTTTTTTTTATTTCCCATGCTTGTAGGTGCCTATAAGTCAGAATAGATTCGAGAGTTGTGGGTTGGGTTTTTTGGTATCTATAGCCCTGGTGGCACAGTGTGATGTGCTTGGCTGCTAACCTAAGGCTTGAACTCACTAACAACTCTATAAAGACTTGTTGTTGTTGTTAAATGCCGTTGAGTTGGTTCCAACCCATAACGACCCTGTAGAAGTCATTTCCAAGGAAATGGTGGGTTTGAACCGCTGACCTTGCAGTTCAAACTGACCTTGAAGTCCAGTGCATCATTCTGCAGCACTGTACCAGAGGTTTGGAAACGCTACGGGGCAGTTCTACTCTATCACGGTAAGTCAGAATAGATGCATGTGCACCTCTCCTTCTTTTCTTTTAAATATATACTTGAAACACAGCAAGGGAAAGGGAGGGTGACAAATAAGACTACACATGTGTACCATATGGCAAGCTGCTTTTTGCACCTGATACTGTCTCTTGGGATCTGTCATATCCCACATACACAGACATCCTCACTGTTTAAATAGCTGCGTAGTACTCCACTGTACAAACAGTCTGGTTTTGATTTAACCAGGTCTTTATTGATAGGCATTTTACTATCGAGTACTTTCTTTAATGAGTGGTTCTGTCAAAGCAATAAATACATAGGACTATAAAATACTTGACAAATTCCATCCAACTGAAATGAAATTCAAAGTAAGTTTAAAAAATAACAATTTAAACAGCCCTGATTTTTTTTAAACTGTTTTATTAATTTCAAATCTTTCAAATGCATATGATTAAAATGGGAAAGCTTTCATTATTGCCCCACATACTTATCAGGGAAATGAAACCTTTCCTTTCACTTGAAGTGTTTTGACAGAATTTCTGAAAACAAGAAAGGAAGGGCCTCTGGGGGAGGAGAACGCACCAGGCCAATGTGATTCTGGCGTTCCTCCTGAAGAGAGGTTGCATTGTCAGCCTCTGCACCAAGCAGATAATCAGACAAAACCAGACTGCAATAAAAACCAAGGGCTCATCAAACTTCTTTTCTACAACGATCCTTGTTTTATTGAACTACTTTACTTTTATTAATTGATTGCAATTCTTTAAAACAGACAGATTAAATAATTTAAAAATCAGTAATAGTCAATAAATAAATCAAATAATAAAAATCAAACTAGACTCCTCCTTCTTTCACATTTATCTTTATTTTAACAGAAGGGTTTTGTGGGAGGGAACCTACCAAAGTCGAGCGGCCCTTGTGCCATGTTTTGTTTCAAACATGCCGTCTGAGTTGTAAGTGTCTGTAACAGTATGGCATCAGCATGTGAGGCTTCAGTGCATGGCCAGGTCAGATGGCTACTACATGCCAAGTGACAGTCCTCTGACCTATGCCGGGGCAGCATCTGAGCTCTCTAATGGAAAACTGCAGCATGGCTAATTCCTTACACCCAGTGTACTCAATATGTATGTGCCAAGTGGAAGACAAACTGTTTTTAAAATCAAGAGATTGTCAAGTTGTCCTCTGGTGACAGACTATAACCTTAAGAATACTGAACTAAAAAAAGAGATAAGATATAGTATGCCAAGAAAAGAATAGAAAGATTATCTGAAGAACAGTTTCTTATCTAGCCCACAAACTGTGAAGTATATAAAATGAATCTTTAAAAACCCGGAACCCTTCCTTTCTGCCCCGTCTTTCTTATTCACCTTTTGCGGTGCTCTTTTACCAGTAGTAAAGGAACACTGAGGTGCATCCTTTTGCCATGTTTTCTTCCTACCTCTTACCATCCTGCGGTGGTGGTGGTGGTGACATGCTGTGGAGTCAGTTCTGACTCTTAGCAACCTTGCAAAGGATTTTCGCAGCTGTAAATCTTTACAGGAGCAGAAAGCCTCTTCTTTCTCCCATGGAACAGCTGGTAGATTCAAACTCTTGACCTTGCAGTTAGCAATCCAACTCGTAACCCACTGCGCTACCAACCTGTACTCATAACAATTCCTGATAAATTCACACTGAGATATAAACGACTGATGCAGTTTAACCTTTTTTTGCCCTCATGATTCTTTATTTTTAAATAAAAGATGTAGAAATTAGTGTACATTTTAATGTCTCGAGATACTTTGAGTCAAGTGGACCTTCTGGTACCTCTGAAAACATGCTGTTTAGCCTGATGCTCACTGTGACTTCACAGACTATGTCTACCATGTAACTGGTCTCCAAAATTATTCATGAATCCCAAATTATATTCCTTAGCCCTACTGCAAAGTTGGTTTGATCAGCAAGGTCAGCAGTTCAAACTCACCAGCCATTCCTCGGAAACCCTATACAGGGTCACTATGGGTTGGAACCAACTCAACAGCACTTATCAACAACAACAAACTGAGGAAACAGGGCCAAGATAGTCCTTGATACCAAATCTTGGGCTTAGACAAAGAAGCCTCTTTTCTGGATACTCTACTGGAAACAAGTCAGAGTGATTCTCCCTCATGTCATAGAGCCAAAGTCCCACATATAATACAGCCAGTCAAAACAGTTAAAAGGTTAAGCTTAGGGTCAAAGTTTGAAACACTCTGATTCCTCATGCCATATTTTAAAACAGTCTAAAAGATCCGTGGCCCATATAGAGACTAGTTAGCACATGTTAAGTATCAACACAGGTTGAAGAATTGCTTATAGTTAATTATGATATGCATATTTGGCCTGCGAGCTATATTTTATAGTAGCTTCTCCGAAACGATTTACAAATTAAATTATTGAAATGTATTTATCATTAGCAGTTTAAATAAATGACTTTTTTTTTTTTTTTTTTTTGGCAAGAGAGTAATTTTTAACTTGGCAGCTGTTTCCAGGCAGATTGTTGTCAGGTTATTGCAGTGACTAACTTTGAACGAAGGAGGAAATTTACAGGAGATTGCTTTATCTTCAGACATTCAAGTTTGCACTTCCCCAAAGAGGCAAGCAATTTTGTCAGTGCCCAGAGACGATGGATTCCCAAAGACACTGCTATGTTTGCATCTTTGTGGCCTAATTCAATTAATAACCTCACATTATTATTTTTGGCTTTTCATATTTACAATTAAAATGTTCTTTAAAAAGAGTAATTCTTCAAATAAACTCTTCAGAAACAGATTATTTTATGGTTGAGTTGGAGGTTTATATGGCAACACAGTACAGAGGAGTAGGTAATATGCTAAAACAAGAGCTCTGAACAGAGAATTGGGAGACTTGAGTTCAAATCCCAGCTGTGACAAGATTACTAATTGGGTGTTCTTTTCCGAAGGCCAAAGGCCTTAGTTTACTCATCTGAACATGAGGGTATTTAGAGATGGCCACTGAAGTTTTTAAATACAAAGCCCATGTATCTGGTAAACCAAACAGGTAGTTAGCAAGTTTTGCTCAAGTTTGTCCTATGATTTATACAACAACAAGAGAGGGGTGTCTCAACCTACGCATGCCTGAAAATCTACAGCAACTATATGCTATTGCTCCAATTTTATGTCTTGACTTCCAGTCACAATGAATACAAACAGTTATCAGCTGAAACTGCAACAGTCAACAGGGGTGTAACTTTGAAACATCCTATGTCTGATGACTGACTACTAGATTTGGAAAAGAGAGGAGAGCTTTTTGGAGAAGGTGGGACTTCTACCTCTCTATTTTCTTGAATATAGCTTTGAATTTACTATCAAACTTTCAGTTGATGATAGAAAGTAGCAAGCCACAAAAAAAATTCATCACAAACACTGTAACATGTATTGAAATGCCATAAAATAGCTAACAACATCCCACTTGGTTCTCTCTCATTGATGAGAAACCCCAGGAATTGCTTTGAACAATACAAAAATTAGCAACTTTGATTATTCTTAATCAGAAGATAATGGCCCAAGGCAACAAGTTCATACCTTGGTTTCTGTTAACATAAAAATTGTATCTAAACATTGTTATTGTGCTGTAAAGCACCTGCCAAGTTAGTTCTGACTTCAATGAGGAGTCGGAACCAACTCTACGGCATTTAACAACAACATAGGGTTTCCAAGGAGCAGCTGGTGGGTTTGAACTGCTGACTTTGTGGTTAGCAGTACAGTGCTTATCCTACAGTGCCACAACAGGATTCCTAACCATAACTTTGCCAAAACCTAAATTAGTCAAAACAGAAATATATTTTCCAATAATAAGCAGGAAGAGTACATTTTAAAAAATATGTAAGAAATGGTTTAGAGATTTTTTTTTTTTTTACAAATAAGCAATAAAATGTGATGGGTGAATTCACAAAGAAGATGCTCATTTGAATGTCTTATTTTAAATTCAAATAATGTTTTTCAGTCCTCTCTTTGAATTACATAAATCATAGACCTAAGACACTTTCCTCACGCAAGTATCAGGGTGAGGCGTTAGACATAGTTTTGAAAGCCAATGAAGAAGTCCTACCTTGAAGTCATATGTGGCATCTGGGTTTTCATCACAAGCAATGACTTCTGGAGCCATCCAGTAGGGAGTCCCGATGAAGGTATTCCTTCGGCCCACTGTTCGATCTAACTGGGCGCTGACTCCAAAGTCCACTATTTAAAAGAAGGTAAAGAGTAATGTCTAAGACCTTAGGCTTTATGTAATAAGATTAATTTATACTTTAAAATTGTATGTGTAAATGAATTAAGTGTACTGGTAAGGAAAACATAATGTATTATATTTAGATACAGCATGGTTCCATGGGAACCAAAAATGGGTATTAATAAAAGGCAAGCTTGGTAACAACGAAAACCAAACCTATTGCTGTTGAGTTGATTGGAACTCACAATGACCCTATGTGTTACAGAGTAACTGCTCCACAAAGTTTTCTTGGTTCTAGTCTTTAAGCAAATGAATCACCAGGCCTCCCTTTTGTGGTCTCACTGAGTGAGTTCAAACCGACAACCTTTAGAGGTTAGTGGTAGTGGTGGTGGTATGCCGTGGAGTTGGTTCCGACTCACAGTGACCCTGTACAGGGTTTCCAAGGCTATAAGTCTTTACAGGAGCAGAAAGCCTCATCTTTCTCCTGCGGAACAGCTGGTACTTTTGAACTGTTGACCTTGCAGTTCGCAGTACTCAAGTGCAAATAATTTACCTAATAGTGGGTAACAGGAGTTAACAGCTCAATTCTGTAGTCAGAAAGCCAAAAAGTGCATCCTCTTTCTGTCACTTACTAGAGATGCAACATAGGATTAGTAGATGAAGTTCTTTGAGCTTTGGTTCCCAATCTGTAAAATGAGAATGACAATATCTACACAGATTTGCTCTGCTATTTAAGTGAGGTAAGCTATGTAACTATGTCTGGTACAGGACCTAGGATACAATATGCTTTCCATACATCACTGTTAATTAATGATGAGTGAATCTTCATTCATAATTAATGATGAGTGAATACTAGGTAAGACAACTTACCTAGTAGATAAGTATAGTAGATATGTATAGTATATACAAACTTAGTCTACATAATATATTATTCTGATTTTAAAATATTCATAAGACACAAATTTGTCACCCTGATTGCTAAGTCACAATATGAGACAAAAGGCAAGAACCAACGTTTGGAATATAAACTTAGAGAATATTTAAGTCTCTTTGAAAATACGCAGTCACGGACAAAGATTCTTTTCTAGATTACAAATCGCATACCTTATTAATTTTCTTAAATGCTATTTGTTAACTCATGTTCTTACTTATACATGCTATGCTGGCAAATGTATGAGGGAATTCTCAAGTTTGTCTGGACAATCCCTGGTCTGTGTGGGAAGGACAGAACCCATTGGACAGAACCCAACAAAAGGGTCCCTTCACTTGTGGCTCTGGCAGATTGAGGTGGCGTAAGCAGGATGCAATGAAAATGGGAAACTGAACATTCATTTTACAGAGTGCTCTGTTCAATAATGAAATCCATGCAAATGCAACTTAAAATGTAGGGGAATGAAGCAGGAACTAGTTATTCTGAAGTACCTGGGTACTTTCAATTAAAAAAAAGTCAGATTTCATGATTATTCTGCTATAAAACAATCATGAAAACAGTTTATAAACTGTAGGAGACCATTTCAGTAAAGTAAGTTTAAATGGTCTCTCCTAAATATATATATATATATTTGTTGTTGTGAACTGATGTTGAGTTGGTTCCGACACATAACAACCCTGTACAGGGTTTCTGAGGAGCAGCTGGTGAGCTTGAACTGCCGACCTTGCAGTTCAAGTGGCTTTGCAATCTGGCACATTAACCCACAGCACCACATCAGGACTCCAAATATATACATATATATGAGGAATATATATATTTATGTTGTTGTTAAGTGCCATCGAGTTGATTCCAACCCATAGTGACCATGTATAGGGTTTCCAAGGAGCAGCTGGTGAGCTTGAACCACCAACCTTGCAGTTTAAACGACTTTGCAGTCTGACACATTAGCCCATTGTGCCACACCAGGACTCTGTATATATAATATATATAATTTTTATATATTGATTAAGCCATGGTGCTCTTCGCTTTTCCACACGCCAATTCACTCTTAATGTTTTTAGAAATGTTAAACACACAAAGGAATATTTCCATTTCCTTTCTTAATACAAATAACCTTCAAATTGACAGTGATGAATTTACATTCATTGCATAAAAACAAAAAAACAAAAACAATGCTGTGGAAATAATCTTATCAGTTCCTGCAATTCCCAGGTTTACTGGTTCTGTTCTTACCTAGTTTAACTTCTGCATTTTCAGTCAGCAGAACATTCTGCCCTTTAATATCTCGATGAATCACTTTATGCTGGTGCAGGTGACTCAGCCCCTGGATGGAGTGGAGAAGAGTAGAGAACAGTTAATAGGAACATATTCCAAAATGCAAGTAAATGATTTTGGGCACTCATGATCCAAAAATAAAGGAAATTTAACTTACTCAGATATTTTCAGAATTACATTCATATATCTGACAGTGCTATTCTAATCCATAGACAACTTATCAATATAAAATGCATTACGCAGGCAGTCCTTAGTATGCTTGAACATCAGATGTAATCTCAGGTACCACGGAACAATACAGAGATACAGTTCTGATACACATAAGTTCCAGTTAACACCGACAATACAAAAAGTGAGGGCCACCTATTTTTGCTCGTTTGTAAGAGGAATATCTGCAGGGGTTCTGTACAGAAAACCAACTCTATTCAACTGAACCTCCCCCCCCCCATTCTTTCTGGCCAGTAGCTGAATTTAAAAAATTCAACAGTATTACGTCTGCCATGCAATTTTAATTAAGCGCAAGAAAATGCTTTTCAAACCAGTCAAGAAATTTCGCGTTGGCTCTAGCCAAAGTGGCTCACATTCAAAAAGGACAAGAGTTTCCATTTCCTTCATTGGCAACTATTACTGCCAACTGATACTTGGATACTTGTGACTTTGTGTACATTATATGAGACAATTGTTTGGTGATATCCAAATCTGATGTTGCTTCATTTCTCAGTGAATTACTCTGCTTTTGAAGTCATTGTGCTATTGAATTCTATAGGCTACACACTTACTCTAAGGTAGTCACATGTTTCTCAGAGCAATTAAATTTTGAGTCTTAATGCAATTGAGAATGATGCTAAAACCACTAATTCAAGGTGTCAAGTACACAAGTATCGTCAGTTTATTTGTATTTTCCGTATCTTTATTTTTTTCCACAACAAAAGTAGAGTATAAAAGATGAAGTTGACCCAAAAAGAAGCAAAATTTTCTGAATTCTCTAATTGAAGAAATTCAGCATGAGAATAGAAATGTGCAAAATTATCTACATATACATTCTATTAGATTATCTATGTATATATTAGATACATAAAGTAAATATAAACAATGTGATAAGACAGTTTGCAATACTGTCTTGGGTCTTAAAATATGATCTTAACTTATCTAGTCATTTTGGCTCACAGTTGGTATCAAACAGATTTAAATGTATGGTTTTCACAGCATATTAGTCACCTCATAAAGTGTTGAAGTCCACTCCCTTCCCTCTTCTACCACTAAAGTAATTCGAAGCAGACATCAGACTATATAACAGGTAAAAGTTGTATTTAATAAGCTCAAACAATGCACAGAGGTTGCTATCTGGAATTTCCTGTGGCCAGAGACCTTTCCATGATTAAATGTCCCTTTGAGAGAGTCCCCTTAACACAATCACCAGTTTCACTGAATGTGAATGTGTTGAAGGATGAAAACTACTGTTTCCACACATTTTAAAGACCCTCTGTGTTACAAATGGTCAACACACTTAGCTGCTAACTAAAATCTAGTTCTCCCAGAGGTACTTCAAAAGAAAGGCCTGGGGATCAACTTCTGAAAAATCAGACATTGACTATAAACCTATAAAGTACAGTTCTACTCTGACACACAGGGTGTTGACATTAGTTGGAATCAACTCATTGGCAAGCAGCTGATTATTGAAAGACGCTAACAGAATGAAACATCTTTGCTGCTCTTAGAATTCTGGAATCAAATGATGGATCCCTTAAGGGCTTCCCATCAGTACAGTAGAGTATATTGCACAGAACCAGCACTGGAGAACTAACAGATTCTTGGGACCTCCTGAATAGTCTGACTGACTTAATAGTCCATCATACAGTCTTTGGTTGGGCTGTTTGAGAAGCAAAGTTTTAACAGTCAGAAATTCAAACTAAGTTTATACCTGGTACATCAAGACTTGGAAATAAATGTCATATGTGAAGGAGATTGCCAGTCATATCTTCTTGTTTCCCTTCCAATTTTGTTTTATGTTCTGTTCAAAATAAATAGCTTTTTCTATTATCCTGCTTACTTTAAAAAGCTTTGTTTTTGAAACCTTTTCCAGGTGTAGCTATAATCTATCTGTAATTGATTTTTAATATAGTATAAAGGAGGTATCAAATTTCATATGTATAGTCCATTGATGAAACACCATTTATTGATTTTAAAACTTTTCCACGCAGCAGTGTTTCCTTTGCCATAAACCATGTACCCATAAATAATGGATCTGTCTCTTGATTCATAATTCTGTTTTAACCGACATTTGTCTATTCTTGTGACAACACTTCTTTGTCTTGATTTCTCAGTAGCTTTATAAGTTGTGGTTATCTGTAGCATAGACCTTCTAGGTTTATGGTTCTTCTTCAAGATTGCCTTGGCTATTCTTAGATCTTTATGTTTCCATATGTTTAAAAAACCAGTTTGTCAATGTCCACAAATACACCCAATGGATTTTGATTTGGAGTGCAATGAAACTATTTATCAACTTGGGGTGGAATGCCATCTTTATAATATTAAGTCTTCCAGTTTATAAATATAATATACTTTATCCATTATTAAATCTCCTTTATTTCCAGAATGTTTTGTAGTTTTCAATGAAGAAGTCATTCACCTCTTTCAAGTAATTTATTTCTAAGTATTTGATTTTTATGCTATTATAAGTGTTATTATCTTAAAATTTCACTTTTTTGCCTTATTTGTGATGCATTTAATAAAAAATCATGTTTATGTCCTTCTTTCCTTCTTCCTTAACTTCCATTTACCCTCCCACCCATCCATCCATCACAGCACATAATGTATTGCTCAAAGGTATTTCTTGAACACATACTGAAAAAGTTTTAACTTTTATTCTCTTAAATTAAGAGGGCAGAGCTTATAAATAAGTAGTGAATATAGTAAGGCACATATAGTAAGAAGGAGTCCTGGTGTGGCACTGCAGGCTAATGTGTCAGGCTGCAAAGTCGTTTGAACTGAAATGTTGGTGGTTCAAGCTCACCAGCTGCTCCTTATAAACCCTATACGGGGTCGCTATGGGTCAGAATCGACTCGATGGCACTTAACAATAACAACATATAGTAAGAATGCTCAATGGACCTATGGCAGCCTCTATATTAGTACTAAGATATGAGTGAAGGGGCTAAAATATGACCAATTCCTGTCTTGTCCCAGAATTGAGCTTGACAAATATGGCATGATAGACAGGATTGTCTGGTGGTGGGCTCTGTAAAACTGGCTTAGTAAAGCTCAGTCAACAGGCAAAATCCTGCCCAGCTATTTTAATTTATTTAAGTGATTAAGCCTCAAAGAACTTTTTTTTAAAAGGTAAAATCAGCTACATTAGGTTGTATGCACTGAAGTGGTTAAAATCACATACTCATACAGACTGTATGTGGTAGAAGGCCATCACTGCAAAAGTCATGATAAATTAGTCACAACTTTCACAGATAGAAAACACAAATGGGTGATCAAACATCGCAAAACAATTCATTTAAGTGTTATCCTTCTTTATGCTATAAAATCAGGTTTTTGATGAAAAATACCATTGGAAAGGAATCCTTGTTAAGGGAGTTTACCCAATGTTAGTCCTTCAAATGGAGGAACACATGGTCTTCACAATTCTTTTCTCTAACTGTATGCAGACAGGCTCTCATTTCTTCTAGAGCAGATCTCACACCAACTGTGAGAACATCGTCACCACTGCTAGAAGAAAGCTTAAAGGACATTTCCTTTATGTTTATTAATTTCAGTAGTAGGTTTAATTAAACATTAAATTCACCTTCCAAAATATCCAGCGATACCTCAAGACACTGGGGGACTGACCAGTCCCCACTTGTTACATACCCGTAAGATCTCTCTGCAGATGTACGCGATCCATTCCTCCTTCAACGTGTTCCCTTTTGTGTTCTTGATCAGATCAGTGACAGAGCCAGCACCACAAAACTCCATCACCAACTGGCAAGGAAAGCAAAGATGCCATTATCAGAATTACATTTTCACAGCTTCCACTAAGTTGGGGCCATAAAACATAGACTTCAGTTTGTATTAGATTTTGCTTTGGAATGCAAAGAAAAAGTGACCATAAAACAATATATTAAGCATAAACATTCAACTTAATTTCCTCTCAAAATGGTAGAAAGAGAAGTTTTTATTTACATTTTTTACATTCCAACCTAAAAATTGTAGTTGAAAATTGAGGAAAATATTCACATTCAAAGTAATAAAAAAAAAAGGGGGGGGGACTGATATGTTGTCCAGATATCATTAAGAATTCCTTTGTGTTTTTCCCCAGTATTCTAACTCATCTGTTCTGCAAAAACAACATCATTCCCTTGTCAGAAAGAGCTATGGTTCTCAAACAGTCCCAGGTCCGGACAATAGAAGTACACACTGTTTGTGTTATTAGTTTGTAAGTAGCACTGTGAGCTGTCAGAGTAAGGACTATCTGTTTTTAATTAACTTCAGCAAATGTTCCCAGGAGGTTAGGAACATCAAATAAATTCAATAAACAATAAACCTTAATTTAGCACCTTTCATCTAAAAAGCTCTAAGCTCTCTATAAATATAAACTCATTATAGTGCTCAGCAACTTTATAAAATAGGCAGAAAATAAATATCTCCCTTATTTAACAAGGAAGTAGAGAAGACTAGAAAAGGAAAAGCAATCTGGTTTACAGCTTTTACATTGATTTTTCTAATTTTTTTTTAACACATCCGTTTCTATACTTTTTCCTTCTTCAATAACACTCACTTAATTGGACACTTAACATAATTTTTTTGTCACTGTATGAGCATAATTCAGAATAGCAACCAATCTATATAGCTTGACAATAGAGATTTTAAAAACATGGGATCAGCACTGGACTGAGAACCACAAGGTTGGCAGTTCAAATCCACTAGCTGCTCCTCAGAAACCCTACACAGGGCCGCTATTAATTGAACTGACTCAATGGCACTTAACAACACCAATGAAATCTCATTGATAGTTTTGGTTTGGGCAAAATGTACATTGTCAATGTGGGCTATGCTTCACAATAATTGTGGGAAGGGGAAAAGAGATGACCGTGTGGATGGACAGGGTTGATCATCCAAGCACATGCATTCACTACTGTTCTGTCGACTTTGTTGTTCTACTTTTATGTATTTTGGGATTATCTATAATACAAACTTAATGTAAATCCTATCATGTGACAAATCATGGTACAACTCCAACAAGATGGGATACAAGAAACATTGTTGGATAGAAAGACAGGACTGTGAGAGAGCAAAACATGTTTTCAACTCTTCTCAAATCCCATTTTGAGAAATGCAGTAACTGGATCTCCTACAAATGCATGCACTCCTTTGATCAACTAGAGAAAATGTTCCACCACTGAGCTGTATTAAGGTCCATCATTATAGTTCCCAAGGAAAGCAGTGGAAGCCCAGTGACTCCAGACTTTTAAAATTAGATTGGACAAAATAGTTTCAAGTATTTAGCAGGAAGCAGTCCTTCTCTGGCACTAATGCCAGTGATTTCTATAATTTACTTTCCCATTCAACTCCAGCTGAAGGCTGCTAAATTCTTTTCTTCTAGTCATGGAACAAAATGATTGTGAAATTATGTCATGGAATTTTTTTCTTAAAGAAAAATAGACAAAGAAACTAGCATTCTCTAGCAATTAGCTCCTGTAGTCACACAGCAACACTAATAATTACTGCCACCAAGCAGCAGGGACCTTCCCTCGCTACAGGTAACCTCATCATGTTAATAAACAGAAACAGGGCTCAACATGCTAAGCCCAGCAGCAAAAAGTCAATAACTTTCCATCTCACAAGTAAGAAATAATGGATCATTAATATTCTTCTGAAATGAAGTTGTCACAGAGTTAGTTTACCTTGGGACAATAATACTTGCTAATGTTTATTGAGAATTTACTGTGTGCCAGGTAGGTGTGGTGCTGTAGGATAAACACCAGACTGATAACAGCAACGTTGGTGGCTCAAACCCACCAGCTGCTCTTCAGAAACCCTACACAGGATCACTATGAGTCAGAACCGACCCAACGGCACTTAACAACAACATTTATTGAGAATTTACTGTGTGTTATACACTAGGCTAAGTGATTTTCAATGGATACTTCATTCATTCTTCTGTCCCTCAATTTCCTTTTCCTATTTATTTGGAAAGGGGGCTTAGTTATAACCTGCAACTTAATCCATAATATGCACTTATTCAGTGACTAGAAAGAGCTGCAAACAGGATACTCTCTGTACTAGTCATGGATCATCCCAAACCACCTTAGACTAAGTTACCTTCCCTCTACTGCCTCCCACACACTATGTAATTATTACACACTGTTGAGTCCCTTGTAATTTCATAGCAATCCCACGTGAAAACAGAGAACTGCCCCACAGTGCAGAAAGACGAGCCCATCAGCTCAGAAGGCACTCAAAATACGACTAGGGAAGAGCAGCCTCCTCAAAGTATTGTTGACCATGATGATGCAAATGGAGTAAAGCTTTCAGGACCTTTACTTACAGATGGGGCACAACACACAATGAGGAGAAACAGCTGTAAACATCCATTAATCATAGAAACATGGAATGTACAAAGTAAGAACCTCAGAAAATTGGAAGTTGGAAAAAATTAAATGGAATGCATAACAATTGAGATCCTCAGCCACTCTGAATCTGACAATCCTATTGTTTACTATAATGGGAAAGACAAATTGAAGAGAAATAGCATCACAATCATCTTCAAAAGGAACCTTTCAAGATCTATCTTGAAGTGCAATGCTGTCTGTGATTGGATGATATCCACATGCCGATAAGAAAGACTAATTAATACCACTATTATTCAACTTTATACCCAAACCACTAAAGTTAATGATGATAAAATTGAAGAATTCTATCAAGGCCTGGTGTGGCCCTGTAGGATAAGCACTGAACCACAAGATCTGCAGTTCAAACCCACCAGCTGTTCCTCGGAAACCTTATATAGACAGGGTCACTATGAGTCCACACGGAGTACATGATGGCACTTAAAACAACACAACCAATCAGCTTCTTCAGTCTCAAAGTGATCAAACATGCAATCAAAATGCATTGATAATTACTGGTGATTGGATTGCAAAGGTTGGAAATAAAGAGGAAGGATCTGTAGTTGGAAAATAGGGTCTTGGTAATAGAAACACTGCTGGAGATCAAATGATAAAATTTTGCAAGACCAATGACTTATTCACTGCAAATACCTTTTCTAAATGACTTAAAAGGTAGTATACACAAGGATATCACCAGATAAAATAGACATGACTAAATTGACTACATCTTTAGGAAAAGATGGCGGAAGAGCTCAATATAATCAGTCAAAAAATAACCAGGGGCTTACTGTGAAACAGATCATCAATAGCTCATTTGCAAATTCAGACTGAAGCTGAAGCAAAGCTGAAGAAGATTAAACAACTCCATGAGAGCCAAATTGTGACCTTGAACATATCCCACCTGAATTCACAGACCATCTCAAGAATAGATTTGATGTATTCGACACTATTTGACACAAAGCCCAAAAGAGTTGTGGATGACATCAAGAATATCAAACAGGAAGGAAGAAAGCAAAAGGTCATCAAAAAGACAGGAAGGAAAGAAAAGACCAAAATGGATGTCAAAGGAGACTCTGAAACTTGCTCTCAAGTGTATAGAAGCTAAATCACATGGAAGAAATAAAGAGGTAAAATAACTGAATAGAAAATTTTAAAGAGCAATTTGAAAAGACAAAGCAAACAATTCTAATGAAGTGTGCAAGGACCTGGAGTTAGGAAATAAGAAGGGATGAACATGCTTAATATTAATCAAGCTGAAAGAACTGAAGGAAAAAATTCAAGCTTGTGCTTGCAAGATTGAAGGAATCTATAAGCAAAATACTGAATACTGCAGAAAGCATTAAAGTAATATGGAAGGAATACACAATCATGGTACCAAAAAGAAATGGTTGATGTTTAACCATTTCAAGAGGTACTACTATATGAATAAGAACCAATGGTACTGAAGGAAGAAGTCCAAGCCTGCAGTGAAGGCAATGGCAAAAAACAAAGCTCCAGGAATTGACGGAATACTAATTGAAATCTGTCAACAAAATGAAGCAGCACTGGAGGCACTCAATCATCTTTGCCAAGAAATATGAAAGATAACTAGCTAGCAAACCAATTGGAAGAGATCCTTATTTGTGCCTATTCTAAAGAAAGGAGACCCAACAGAATGTAGAAATCTCCACACAATATTATTAATATCGCGTGAAAGTAAAATTTCACTGGACATAATTTAAAAACGATTGCAGTAATATATTGAAAGAGAACTATTAGAAATTCAAGTCAGATTCAGAAGAGGACGTGGAATGAAAGATATTGCTGACGTCAGGTCAGCAATATAGTGCTGAATGCAGAGAATACCAGAAAGATGCTTACTAGCTGCTCATTGACTACGAAAAGGCTTTCGACTGTGTGGATCTTGACAAACTATGAATAACATTATGAAGAAAGGGTATTCCAGAGCATTTAGTTGTGCTCATGCCTGCACAAGGACCAAGAGGCAGTTGTTAGAACAGAACAAGGGGATACTGAATGTTTTAAAATCAAGAAAAGTGTATTTCAGGATTGGATCCTTTCACTATATTTATTCAATCTGTATGCTGAGCAAATAATCCGAGAAGTTAGATTATATGAAGAAGAATGTGGCATCATGATTGGCGAAGAGTGAATCATTAACAACCTTCGATATGCAGATGATACAACCTTGCTTGCTGAAAGCAGCAGATGTAAAATCCTTACTGATGAAGAATAAAGATCACAGTATGGGTTGCACCTCACTGTAAAGAAAACAAACATCCTCACAACTGGACCAATAAACAACATCCTGATAAATAGAGAGACGACTGGAATTGTCAAAGACTTTATTTGTTTACATCCACAATCAACAGT